CTCCCATCCGCATGCCTCCCGGTGTTATTCCTTCGGGTTTGTGTGGGTATGTGGTTGGAGCTGTGGGTGGTGCAGCGCAAGCCATCTATAGTCCCTCTGTAGGCGCAGGCGTCCTGTGGCTTGCCACAGTAACAGGCAAATTCGAAACCGGATGCCGCCAACCCTATATATATATGCTTATGTTGAATAACTTTTCTTGGCTGTAGTGTTACGATCCGTTTTATACTTCTTGAAGATTACTTTGATGGGAAAAACGTTCAGAGCGAAATTTGGGTTTGAAATAACTCTTTCTGACACTCTTATTAGGGACAGTACATTCCAACACTAGTCACATTGTGTCGTTTGCCGCATTCCGAATTCCTCGTTAACTTTTACCTAACTTGACCATGCTGCATTCAACTATAGATGGCGTACATCGGTCCAAGACTTTCGATCGATTTAGTGTACTTACGTGTATTCCGACGATGTTCTACTGCGTGCAAACATGGACCACACCGCTTACTACTGCTACTGCTATGCCTATCCTCTGTGCTAACTCAACCGCTCAACCTCCACTCACAGATCACCCCACCTCCCGTCCTTCAACCACATGTACTCTTATGTCTTCTACGGTCACCGTCACAAACGACCCACGTCTCGCAGCTGATGGCAGTAACAGCCAAACTCCCGGTTTTCAATCTCCTGCGATCGCAAACGCCTCTCACTCCACCGAAGCTCCAGCTCTTCTTCGACCTGGTTCTCCATTCATCCTCTTAGCGTTTAATGTTCGAACTTTGATGCAGATCGGACGACAAGCATGTCTGGCCCGTACTCTTGAAACGCTTTCGGTAGACATCTGTTGTCTTTCAGAGACCGGATTACAAGACTCTAGCGCCGTCATCGGAATGACTTCACCGGTAAACCCTGACGCCAAATACCACTTGCGACTTTCCGGAGACCCAGAAGCTGCCGCCACTGGTCAAGCTGGTGTTGGGGTTGTACTGAGCGCCAGGGCTGAATCAGCTCTGCTTGACTGGATCCCAGTCAACAGTCAGCTATGTGCAGTCAGACTTAGAGGTTCTTGTAACGTAAGCAGGCGTCGAGACGTTAAGCGTGCCTTGTTTGTCGTCTCCACCTACGCCCCTACAGACTTCAGCCCGGATGTAGTTAAAGATAGCTTTTAACAACAAATACATGAACTTCTGCGTTCCTTCAAAAGGACTGATATAGTCATTCTTGCCGGGGACTTTAACGCACGGCTTGGCCGCCTTCCACCAAGCGAACCCCACCTTGGGGGTAGTTTTGGTCTCGATGGCCGTGGATCAGACAATGGAGACAGACTGCTTGCTCTTTACTCTGATCATCGCTTGTTTCTTTCGAGCACTAGTTTTCGGCACTCGAGAAGACACACTGCTACCTGGCGCCCGCCCTCTCAAACGCAAGAGTGCTCCCGGCTTGACCACATAGCAATCAGCTACAGATGGCGCGCAAGTGTAACGTACTGCCGGTCGTACTGGTTAACTTTTCTAGACTCCGATCACGCATTGGTTCGTGCTAAGATTTGCATGCGTTTCGGAGGATCACAGCGCCCTTTCTACCGACCGAACGTCGCGAATCTACAAAACGCTGCGATTTTAACCAGGTATTAAGCCTCACTGTTAACCTTGCTTGGCTCAACTATTGACGGTGATTTCGATTCGCAGTGGGCGCACATCAAAGATGCCTTAGTTTCTGCCATTATCGACACTTGTGGAGTTACCGGTCACCCACCGAAGCATTGGATTTCCGCCGACTCCTTGTCGCTGATGGACAGACGCCGCTTGCTCCCATCGGATTCCAGACAGTGACGAATGCCAGTACCTTGGTCGAGAGTTGCGCAGGAGCCTGCAAATGGACTGCGAAGCTTGGTGGTGTGGACGTGCTAGGGAGATGGAGCTTGCTAGTCTCTCTGGTAATACCAGAAAACTCTTCCATCTCATTCGAGTCACCGAAGGTGTTCGATCTGGTATAAGTGAAACAATATGCGAAGAGGATGGCACTTTAAACACCAATCTTCAACGACGGTTGGAGCGATGGGTGGAACATTTTGGCTCGCAATTTTGTTGGCCCCCAGCTCCATCTGCTACCTCTGGCGCTCGCGCTGGGGCGGAGTGTTCTATCCCCACAGATCCTACCTCTTACCAGGAAATCGAGCAGGAGCTCCGGCACATGAGGCGCTATAAAGCTCTCGGCCCTGATGGTCTTCCTCCGGCTCTATTTAAAGATGGTGGCGCATCGCTGGTTCGAGAACTCACCGCTTTTTTCTCGAAAATTTGGTCGAAAGAGAAAGTTCCGTCATCTTGGGGTGAATCGATAGTCGTCCCCATTTTCAAAAAGGGCCTGCGCACAATCTGCTCCAACTACAGAGGCATAAGCTTAGTCCCCGTCGTTTGCAAGCTGCTGGTGTCCATTATACTTCGCAGACTATTCCCAACGTGCGAATGGTTGCAACGAGAAGAACAAGCTGGGTTTCGCCCTGGTCGCGACTGCATCGATCAAATCTTCACACCTCGCCAGATCCTCGAGCTCCGCCATGTGTATCAGAGGCCAACGATTGCTGTGTTCCTGGATATCCGTGCAACGTTCGATTCTGTAGATCGTACAGTACTGTGGCACTGCCTACTGAGGAATGGTGTCCCCGAGAACTTCGTCTCCATACTACGTGCTCTATATAGTCTGACCTCGGTCAGGGTTAGGGCTTATGGCAAGCTTTCGCCTACCTTTGTGGTCTTCAGTGGAGTTCGACAAGGATGCCCTATTTCTCCGTTCCTATTCAACTTTGCCATTGAGGATGTCTTGAAGAACGCTCTGGGCGATTCGTTGAACGCTGGCGTTGATCTCCTCCCAGGTAGTCGAGATGTTGACTTGGATTATGCTGATGATATCGTCCTGCTGGGTGACGATCCACATGTCGTCCAACTTGCATTAAACCGCTTGGCGATTGAAGCATCAAAGTATGATATGTACTTTTAGCCATCCAAATGCAAGGCTCTCTTTCAAGACTGGCAGGTGCCTCTACGTGCACTCACTCTTGGTGGTGAGACACTAGAGGTTGTAGAGAGCTTTGTCTACTTGGGAATTTTCATCAGTGCTAGCGGGGCTGTTGGAGACGAGATTTCGATGCGCATCTCGAAAGCACGCCTCGCTTTTTCTAGGCTGAGGCACTTGGGGCGTCGCCACGACATTCGGCTCTCCATCAATGGGCGGGTCTATTGTGCAGCTTTTCGTGCTGTGCTGTTGTACGGATGCAAGACCTGGCCCATTCGTAAAGATGACTTGCGCAGGCTATCCGTCTTCGAGCACCGCTGTCTGCGGTCCATTGCCCGTGTGTGGTGGCAGCACCACGTAAGCAGTGTGGAAGTTAGCGTGTCTTGGGACGTGGAAGCCACGAGGAGCTCATCTCACTGCATCAACAGCGGTGGTTGGGACACGTAGTGCGCATGCCTGTCCAGCGTTACCCGCGTCGTGCGTTGTTTTCGGTTGCTGGACAGGGCTGGAGAAGACGGTCTGGTGGACAGCCTGCAACATGGAGAAGCCGCATGCAAAAGCTGACAAAACAGTTGGCCTCGGCCGGTTATTGTCGACTACCTGGTTAGGGTCCTAGAGATGCGGATACTTGCTGGTTGAAGACCTTGGAAGCCATGGCTCAAGATCGATGTCAATGGCGGACGTGTGCATCGGTGTGTTGCGGTGTCCCCCCTTAAAAAACAAACTGAAAAAATTTCAAAAACGAGTGGTAAAATAGACAAAAAAAGCAGGTTTTGTTCCTCCTTTTCTTATTATTCATATTGTTTTCCTATTCAACCATGATTCCGATGGCACAAAACCTGTACCACAGATTGTATATTATATATATATATGTATATATATATGGATAAAATTCATTACGTTTCACTTTATTTTATTGTTTTTTTTTTGTTCCACCTACTTTATAATCTCCCAACTTCACACGTCGCTCATGCAAATTGTGTAAACTTGCATAATTTTATCGCGTGGTATGTTTTAAATAACTTTCGGACATTTTGTACTTTTCGCGTATTTTCGTTTAACCATTTTCTTCCGTATGTTCATTTAGTGTGTATTTATGTCATAATATGCGTTTACTTTATTCGAAATCGGTATTTCGAATGATTGGCTGTTGTTTGACATCCCCGGTGTGGCTGCGCTTGATGTGCATGTTGTTAAGGTGCCTACCTGTCTATTACCCACTGCCTCGTCCATACTGGCTCCAGGAGACAGTTGGTCGTTGCTGAAGGGGACGGGGTGCACGGTCCTTGTGGCCGTGCTTCGCTCGAAGTGTGGTTCCATGCACTTGGTGTGGAGCGGACTACGGTCCAGCCACCGCCTTGTGTGCGGTTGATTCCCCAAATACAGCATGCATGTGTTTGCCTGTGAAGGAGTGTGGGTCGGCTCCGTTGATGAAACGTGGCTCCCATCCGCATGCCTCCCGGTCTTATTCCTTCGGGTTTACACTGGATATGGGGTATGTGGATGGAGCTGTGGGTGGTGCAGCGCAAGCCACCCGTGGTCCCTCTGTAGGCGCAGGCGTCCTGTGGCTTGCCACCGTGACAGGCAAATCCGAAACCAGATGCCACCAACCATATATATCTCACTTTTTGACGGATTTCGGTAGCTGCATGCGTCTCAATAATTCTAATATCGGGGAAACATCACACAACTTCTGTTGCTTAATGGGTTCTTAATTTTCCCTTTGCGACTTTTGTTTTTCACCATTACGGAATGTCCTGCAAACCCATGCCATAAATCACTTCGCCTAATCAAAGTCAGAGCGGTTGCCGTGAGCGAAATATATCGTGTATAGCGAAATTTAAATTTTTTACATGCAGATATGCATTCGCCTTGCTTGGTTTAACTTGTTGGATTACTCGAAATTCGTTTTAACTTATCAATCTACACTCTTTTGTAGCTATCCTAATTTCTTGGCCTGTTAATATGTGGCTTCGACTTATTTCTCCGGACAGGTATTATTCGACCAGAAAGTCACTGTGCCCGGCGGTTTCACAGCCAAAGGTGGCGGCTGTGCGGTTGCGTGCAGTTACAAAGCTTCTGTTGGCCTTCTCTATCCTTTAGAACGAGGCTTCACTTTTGTACCACGACCACCAATATCCGTAAGATTTGAGGAGGTTGTCACTGTCCAGTTCTCTCGGGGGACTGGCGCACAACGTTCTTTCGATTTTGAGGTAAGTCACTAGTTTTCAAGTTACATCAAAACACTACTAGTTATTTCATTGTTTTCTCATTCCCTGCATCTTTTACTATTCGACCGTTGGAACACGTTTGTTGGAGTTTCTGTACCTCGCTTTGAAAAGCACTAACTACTCTGAGGCGCTGTCACAATTCGAATGAAATTGAATCGAAGCTAGAATGAAGCGGAGTAGTTGATCCGTAGATCTACCAAATGAGAGCGTGGGATCACCAGTAATCCAACTGCCATTTGTTTGTGCACGATCTACCTTATCTCTTCTCACCAATTATCTGTTGGACCGGTTACCGTCCAGAGAGGTCACACCAAGTCTAATCGGACTTTCGAATATTTTCATCCTGCTTATTTACTACTTTATCTGTCACTCGGGCCGTAGCATCACGTGACTGATGGCATTTACGCTATCCTCATGGTCTGTCTGTTGACGGAGCCCACTCACAAAGATTCTTTAGGTCCGCTTACGTTCCCATTGCCTCAGCAGAAGCCCGGGTCAAAACAGCTTAATACTCATTGTCCAAGAGACAGCTACTGAGAGCAGTTTTAACTAGAAGCCAGACAGCCAAGACGTTTGGGATCTTTGATAGTTTCTAGTAGCATGGAACTTTCCTCCAGCTCTCTTCTGTTCAGGCATATTACCAAAGGTTTTTCGATTGATGCGAACACCATATGTTCTATCGAGGCATTTGTCTTTTGAGTTGGGAAGTTTTTAGTTCGGAATTCGCAATGGCTATGTTACTTACCCATGCTGTCAACGGCAAACAACACCATTTATTTCAACTTCCGCCTTCATGAGCATTCAACCAGCTTTATTTACTAATTCTGCTATCAGGCACGGCAGTTACATTGCTGCTTATCACTAATGCGGCACGTGGATGAATCACGTTTGTATCAGAGTCGCCTCCTCACTAAATCCCAGTATGCTGTGCAACAACAGTCAAGATATTATCCTCGTTATCATTATCTTCAACTGATAGAAAAACGTCACATTCTACCTTTGTTATAACATCACGTATTTTTCGGCCACACCTTTCCTAACCAAACAGTCCCAATAGGCACATCAATTCACCGAATCGAAATATAGATGAGCGTCTTCTTACAAGCACAGCTCAATGGATCGTTGAGGCATACAAACCATTGCACCGCTTTGAGGTCTGACGATACTCCATCTCCGTTGGTTACACAACTGCGGAGGAAAAAGCAGGCTCATAAACATAGCCTAATTACCCGTGTTAAATGTCTGTCCGTGGGTCTAAAAGCTGCAGTAAGAAGCTAGAACAATTTGTACATTCAGACCGTTTTAATCAACCACAGTTACCGTGACCTGTCGAGACTCCTAAGGCGGTAACTCTCTGGAAAGCATTCCCGCACTACACTCAGTACCGAAGATGTAGACAAACACAACGCTAAGTTCAGCTCTTTGTCACTTAACTAACTCACCCTACCTCCCTTCACCAGCACAGAGCCTCGCACTTTATTTGACTCTACAAATGTTTCCGAGGAGCTTACAAGATGAAAACCAAACTTGGCTAGGGAGCTGGATGCTTTGTCAGCAATCGCTCTAAAAGGCTGTGCAGATTTTTAAAAAGATATCTATATTTAACGACTAGTACCATCATCAGCCAGAATAACACTAGTTAGTAAAATGGGATTTCGGAAGTGTCCGCCAATCGCGTGCACTTCCGTGCTGTTAAAAGTATCGGAGATAGTATTACTCATACTAACGACGTCGAACAGTTCGCGTATAAACCAGGGCGCTCTACATTAGTTGTCGTTTTGTATATGGTGCATTTCATTGCGTTCGCGTTGGATAAAGGACGCAAGAGCGTATGGCTCCTATTTCTCAATCATACTAACGCCTTTGAGAGCCTCGACAGGTCATTACTGCTCAACATTTTGTCCGAAAATACCGTCTCCCCACACGCTTCACGCGCCTGTACGGTAGAAATCAACACTGCCAGCCAACTGGCGTTTTTCAGGGAGCCATTCCACCTCTTTTATATTCTCCGCCTACGTCGAAAGTCTCTCCATTCCATCGAACTTCCTACGCTGTAAATATGCTGATGGCATCCTGGGTTGCTTAAGTCAAATCATCAAAGACTTTGAAAGTCCAGCAAGGGTTAGATAAACTAGTAACTTGGTCGAGTTCCCGGTCTCTCTCAATCCTTCCAAATCTTGTGACGTAACGTTCTGTTTACCACATCCAGACACTGCGGTCCTTTCTACGTATCTCCCCTCCCATGGCTGTGGATGATCAAAGCGTACTTTGTTCTTTCTCCGTAAGGTATCTCGGAGTTTTATTATTTCATAATGTATCTTCTTATACGCCTATTCTTGAAACTTAAAAAAATTAGCTGCTTCTCTTTTTACGCTCTAAGGCTCGAAATGTTTTCCGTTCACCGTGCTTTAATTCTGAGGTTTGTAACCGCATGTATACTCGCTAGTTATACTGTTCTTCAGAAAGAATATCTCCTTGTCCATTGGCTAAAATTTATTTTTGTTTGCTCTGGATCAAGGAAAGAACCGTTCGTTCTTTTGAACAACAGCGAACGTTTTGATGCATACAGCAACTTTTCGTTCAGAATTCTAGATGACCCCTCACCGTTTGCATACTGTTCCAACGAGTACTAAATCTACTTCTTCTACACAGTCGGAATATAAAGTTTTGTATTCTGGTACCTAGTTGTATCAAAACTCCATCTTGCCTTATCTTTATGGTTATTAGTCGACCTATCAAAAATGACCGTATGCTTGATTAAACAATGTATAATGACTGTATATGATTTAAGAAACACTGCTTTACAAGTCCTGTTAGGGGCCTTGGTGGGGTTATCGAAAAAAGTTAATATGAACAGCTAGTACTTTAAGTATTCAAAGAAAGGATTTTCGTTTGTTATGTTGTTGTCCTACACTCTATGTGGTTTTATTGCATCGACGAGTGACAGCTACTAAATCCAAGGTAAATCCAAGGCTAAGAATGAAGATGTTAAGTAACAAAATGTAAGTGGAGGATTTTATCATTCAACCGTCTTCTAAAAAGGTGTAGTGTCGGTGCAGAAACGGCTGATTCGGGGAGAGCATTCCATTTGTAGCGCGCTAATCACAACAGGCTACAGCTGATACTGTCTCGTCTGTCAAGGCTGAAAGTGTTGGGTGGAGCCTGGGATACTAGTCTGTAATCAATAACACGTAAAAGCCGTGCCAAATACGGGACAGTATAGAAGTTGGAGGCGACAGAACCTAACGTATATTGTGCGGGCTACAAAAATAATAAGCGAATCAACCAGAGCGAGAAACGGTACAGCAAGGTACTCACCAAAACGCTTTGTGAAAACCGATATGCAGTCCGTAAAACAAGTGGACGTTTTGAAGGTTAAAACAACCGTAAAATCCAATGTTGCAAAATACTGAAAGAGCGTGTTTTCCGGTACACTACAAAGGCCTCTCCCTAGAAGGCTGAAGGATGGAAGCCTTCGATGGAGCTGTTAGTGTGGGAAGGGGGAAACGGAAGGTGATGATGGGTGCGAATAGTTGCATGGGCTTGAGTAAAGGCTTCCAAGGTGGGGTGTGTAGCAGAGTCCGCTGGGTTCAGGATTTGCTTAGTTATTATCTATGATGGTCGTGTGGACCAGGGTGCATCATCGGTGGGCCGTCGGGGCGGGCTAGTCGGACTGCAAAAAACTGGCTGGTCCAGAAAAAAGGCCGGCAGGACCTTCCGTTTGCTGCAAACCCGGCGGTGCGCTTGGGAGGTGTCACTCCCGCACCGCACCAATCCACGGTCCTCGTTCCACGAAGAAATTCGGCCTTGTCGGCAACGCCTAGTTAGGCGTTTGGGGACCAACCCGTTCGTGGCTGTCTGCGGCTGAGGGCGACTCACTGTTCCTTGGTGCAGGAAGGGGGCTTTGGGTCGGCTGGCGAGTCACTCGGGGGTTGCGTTGAGCCGGTTGGCGAGTCACTCAATGGGTGGCCTTGGCAGTTCCGGCGGTTGCGTTTCTGAAATGTAGAACTCAGAGGGGTTGGGCAAGGGTCAGGGAAGTGGCTTGACCTTGGAGAGGGTACATGACATGCATGATAAAAGCAAATACGCTTTTTAACTTTTCAAAACTTTTGGTTTTTCTTCGATTTTGCAAAACGTTTATGGATGAGACGCAAGCTTACCACTAAAGACGGAAAATGCGGGTTAAGGGAAAGAGTAAACGTTTACAAAATCTGAACAACGGACCGGACGTTAGACCTGTCTACCGCGTCGGTCGGTTGCCTGGGGTTGAGGCGGAGTAGGTTGAGGGTCAAGGGGAACGGAGGGTTTCGGGTTATTCAGTGCACGGGAAATCGCAGTAGGTGCGGGTGCTTGTGTGATAGCATCAGGATGTTTTGCAAATGGCTCGTTAAAGAAAGCCACTTTGAGGCGATCGATGGACACCGTTGTTAGGTGACCATTCTGGTCTTAAGTAAAATGTTTCGGAGTCCGTTGCACGACTCCGAAAGGGCCAATGTAGGGAGGCTGGAGAGGGCGCCACACTGCGTCTGTGCAGAGGAAGACGTGAGTGTAGATAGAGCGTCTGCTGGGCATTTGCACATCTCTAGTCTGTTCACGGGGTGAAGTCGTGCTTAGTGAACGCACGCGTTGAACTAGGGAGGACGCAAAGTTAGGCGGAGGCATACCCGACGATGAGGAAGGTGAAACGAATTCTCTTGGTAACTTTAGCGTTGTGCCGTAAATCACCTCTGCTGGTGCACATTTCAAGTCGGCTTTGATGCTGCTGCGAATGCCTAAGAGTACGTGCGAAACGTTTTCGCTGCAGATAGGGTCGGAGGAGGCTCAGAGCGAGGCTTTAAACTGTCTATGGAAGCGTTCAACTAACCCGTTGGCTGCTGGGTGATACGCTGTGGTACGAATGCGGCGGCAGCCTAAAAAGTTGCAGAACGTATCGAATTGTGAAGATTCGAAATGCGTTTCTAGTCATTTGTAAGGGTGTATGG